TGATGTGCCACCAACCAAATGGCTTAACCGCATAAATGCCACACCGCTGCGACGCAAATGCAGAAAACATAATTTTATATGAATGTCAAATATTGACAGAGCGTTTGCGTAATGAATGCAACTGCAAACAGCTGCTTCTCAATGTAATATCCTTAAACGGGCCGCTGCACAGACGGCAACGCGCAACGCAGAGCGAGCGAGTGCGCCAATGGATATGCACTTAGGTGTCCGATGTCGCAAAGCGCACGCTTAGCCGGGATGATCATGTTAAGCTGTATTTATATGTTTTTTTTTTTTTTTGTAGAGGTGGCACAAAGCATTGAAAGCCGAAAAGTGTGGGACTTGCCTTTCAGCTCACCGCACTAAAAACCCACCCCTGCTCCGTTTCCCTCCCACCGTGGAACTACCGTAAGGTATTACTTCGCGGAGGGGGAGCGGCCTATTGCCAATCTATGAAATTCTGCGGAGTTGTTCCGCTCGACGCAATTTAGATGAAATTGTGCTTGCCAAATTGCAACCAACGGACCAGTTATCTTCTGACTCAAGCATAGTATCCACAAGGTTATGAACCGTAAGTGGCCTCCCCACCTTTCTGCTCGAGTCATCCCTTTCGATTGCAAACCTCGGACAGACGAAAAAGCAGTGTTCAGCGTCTTCAATAATATCCTTTGCACAGAAGGTGCAGAAGGGATCGTCTTCGTGCTTAAATCGGTATAAATATGATTTAAAGCACCCATGCCCTGTCAATATTTGGGTCAAATGGAAGTCCACTTCCCCCACCTTGATATCGAGGGTATGAGGCGGTGCGTCCAACGACCGCTGGCTGCGCGGTGCCACCTCGTTTGCCATTGCTGCAAGCACCTCTGTGTCACCTCTTCGCGTCTCGTTCGGTTTATAGGCCTGGGGCCTGTCACTTCCACTAGAATGTCAATGGGGCAGAGTCCTGCCACCACTAGCGCTGCTTCTTCAGACGTAGTTCGGAACGCACTGCATACTTTGATAGCGCAAAATCTGTGCAAAGACCTTGCTTCTCGTATATATGACGTCTTGCTGAACGCTTCATACCAGATTTGTGCACCATAGAGCAGCACACTGCGCACGACGCTTGCGTATAGCTGCCTACGCTGTTGTTTCGGGCCTCCTACGTTCAGCATAACCCTTGTTAGTGCCCCTGCCACCTTTTCGGCTTTCTCGACAGCATAATCAATGTGCGTCTTGAAGGTAAGCCTCGCATCAAACATTATGCCTAGGTATTTTAGGGCCGCCTTTGACGTAATTTCTTGTTGACCAACCTTTATAGTCGCCACTTCTCTGACTTTTCTACTGCTTACTAGAACTGTCTCGGTTTTTTGGTGCGCAAGTTTCAGTCCTGTTTCGGCCAGCCATGCTTGGATCTGGACGATTGAACTATTTGCTGCGGTAATTATTTCTTCTAGATGCTTCGCTACCACCACTAGCGCTATGTCGTCTGCAAATCCGACAATTTTCACTCGTTCTGGCAAGGATAGTCGGAGTACACCATCGTACATGATATTCCAGAGTATTGGACCCAGAACCGAACCCTGTGGTACTCCAGCCGAGACTTTATGTTCTTTGACACCGTTCTCCGTATTGTACAGTAGCACTCTATTTGCTAGGTGGTTGTCTACAATCTTGCGAAGGTATGCGGGTACCTCGAATCTGCGTAGAGCAGCGTTTATGTGTTTCCAACTTGCTGTGTTGAACGCATTTTTTACATCGAGGGTGACAAGCAAGCAGTACTCCTTTGCTCCTCCCTTCCACCTTTCGCCACTGATTGCATCTTCCGCCAACTGCTTTACTAAACTGGCTGCATCTACCGTTGACCACCCCTTTCTGAAGCCGAACTGTGTCTCTGAGAGGCCTCCCTTTTCCTCGATTGCTTCTAGCAGTCTATCGCTGATTATGCGTTCGAACAACTTGCCCGTCGTATCCAACATGCATATAGGACGATATGCTGAGGGATCTTCTGGTGGCTTCCCAGTTTTCGGCAATAGAACTAGCCGCTGGCGCTTCCATGCATCAGGAAATACTCCTTCTTTAAAGCATTCGTTAAAACTATCGACGAACACTTTAGGGTTCGCAGCTACAGCAAGCTTGAGGACACGATTTGGAATTGCATCCGGCCCCGGTGATTTTTTATCTTTAAATCGCTTGGCCGCAAGAAGTACTTCTTCCGTGCTGACCATGGGAAACTCGAACATCGTAGCAGGAAAGATTTCTCTCACAAAACTTGGTTGCATTGGGAATAACGCCTTTATTATCGTCTCCAGCTTATTTGGGCATAATACCTGTGGTCGAACCGATGCCTTCAGCCTTTTCGTCACGACTTTATATGCTAAGCCCCAGGGGTCATTTTGGACGCTTTCACACAAGCTAGTAAAGCACTTTCGCTTGCTGAGCTTTATGGCTTGTTTAAGCTCCTTGCGTTTAGCTCTGTATATAGCATGTTCGCCGGTAAAGCTTTCAGACCTTCTGGCACGCTGGTAGTTTCTTCTCGCTCTGTTGCATTGCAGTCGCAAGTCCGCTATTTGCTCATTCCACCAATAAACTGGTGCACGTCGGCTGGTCGGGTATTTTTTCTTCATCGAAGCGTCGCACGCTTGAGTGATTTTGGCCATGAGGTAGTTCGTCATGTTACTAGCTCCGTAGGGTAACGAAATTCCAGACATCATGGCTACTAGCGCCTCTTCGTCTAGAGAGTTGACCTTCCAACCTGTTGTTGCTCTTGCACTGACTTTTCTGCTCTCTCCCTCCTCCTGTATCGAGAAAATGATAGCCATGTGGTCGCTATGAGTGTACTCGTCGCTAACCTCCCAAGACGTGTGTCGAAACAGCCTGCTGCTGATAAATGTGAGGTCAATAATGGACCCCACCCCATCCTTGCTGAATGTAAATTTGGTACCCGAGTTGCATAATGCCACATCCAGAGACGATAGTGCTGCAAGAAGAGCTCTTCCTCTGGCGTTAGTTCGTCATTGCAAGGCCCAAGCATTGAAGTCGCCGGCTATTAATACGGGTGCTCTAGTCCGGGCATCAAAGGTAAGCTTATCCATGACGGCTTCGAATTCATCGAGGGTAAAACTAGGCGGTATGTAGCAGCTATATACAACTAATCCAGAGACTCGAACACATACAAAACCTACGTCTGCCTTGAGTTGTTCCATATGAAGGGGCGTTATGGCGCAGCTCCACACCGCTGCTCGACCGGCATCGTCCTGGGCCCGTAGCTGACCATCCCCCCGCCTTGTATGGTTCACTTAGTAGCGCTATGTCAACATTGTGGTCAATCACCGTCTGCTCCAATAGCTCCTGTGCAGCTTTGCAGTGGTTCAGGTTAAGCTGCAAGACCTTCATGATGTCCGGGATTTTTGTATCGCCTCTATATAGTACGGGCAGTCTTTTCCGCCTGTCCTGTGCTTTACGTCTGGCTTTTTGTTTCTGGAGCAGATTACGCACCGTTTCTCCTTCTTACATACGTTGGCTTTATGGCCTATATCACCGCAATTGAAGCACGCCCCTTTGGAGTCGTGACTGCTTTTACAGTTTCTAGCCAGGTGGCCAAACTCTAAACATTTGAAACATTGCATCGGGTGCATTTTTAGTCTTATTCGACAGATTACCCACCCTACCCGAACTTTGCCCACTGCGATCAATTTGCTCGCCATGGCGGCTGGCAGCAGCAGGGTTGCTGTCTTCGTACCGCTGTACGCGCTTCTTAATGACTTGACGGCTTCTACAGAAATTTTGCTGCCATCGACCTCACTTTCTAAGGCAGAACAGAGCTCTTGTTTGCTTATTAGCTCGTCTAAGTCCTTGACTTCTACCGCGGTTTTTGCGGTCAGGGTCTCTACCGTCGCTTTCTCTCCCAGCGTTTCCTTGACCGCTTGTTGAACCTCCACTGTGTGCGAATCCGTGGGTTTGGCCAATTGTAGGAGTAGGTCCCCATTGCCGGTTTTGCGTACTTTGGTTACCACGTCTTCCAGATGTTTTAGTTGTGGATCGTTTTTTAAACCTCGCAGTATTTCTGCATACGAACTTCCGTCACGACTTTTTATTACTATAGCATCCGGCTTTGGCAACTTGGGCTTCGGCTTCGACCTTTTCTTTCCTTCTACTGTCTTCCATTGGGGTTCTTTGCCATCATTCGCCCCATTTGATTGGTTTTTCTCTTCACTTACGTTCGCTGGCGTCATTGCTTTTTCCTGGCGTTCTATCGCAGTGCTTGGCTGCTTTCCAGTTTTACTCGGTTTACCGCTCCCAGGGATTTTTTGAGGCGTTGTTTGGCAAGCGGCACTCAACACGTTTCGCGGTAACGCATTCCCTGTTTTGCCATACAGTATGGCCAGCTCGGCAATGATATCCCGCATAGGTTGGTGAATGGACCTTCTTTTGCCGTCTTCCAGCATTTCCACCAACTCCCGTATTTTAACTCCCAGAGTAACCCACGCGGTCGGTTGATCTTCTTGCGGTGGAGGCGACCTTGCGAGGCTCATAGTTTTGGTTTTTTTGTTTTTTTTGTTTTTTTTGATTTCTTCTATTTTTTTTTTTTTTTTAAGTAATAAAAATAAAAATAGAAGTACTCAAACCCACAGGGCAATTTTGTTACCACCCTAGTTTCACTAGTTTCAGTCACTATCTGCTGTTTGGTTTGGTACTTCGCTAAGCTTGCTTAAACTGTTTGACTACCACTGGCCGAACCAAACTGTTCCCACTTTTAACGAGGAGATCAGTAGTGCGATTCTGAATCTTATTTTAACCACATTTCACGTTGTTATCTCTAGTTAACAACTTTTTTTGGGGTTAAGTGATTGTGTATCAACTGTAACCATATTTGTCATTGTTTAGTGTTAACAAACGCAGTCAGCTGACAATTATTTTTGTGGTTAAGCTAACAGCATCTAGTTTTTCTTTGTTAAGCTGTTGTTTACTAATTTTGCTGTGAAGTTAAATTGAGAAAATTGTGAAGATTGTGTTAAAAAATGGCATTTGCATACATTGCATCATATTTATATGATACCGATAATGAGCAGCCATTAAACGTGCCAAGAATTGACCGGCATAGGCTTCGCGAAATCGATAACCCTTTCGAACTAACGTTAACGGAGTTCCGGAGGCTATATAGACTCAGTCCCGGCATGGTTGAAAATTTGGTGTCGCAACTTGACAATCAATTAAGAGGATCGCGAATAACAGCGTTATCGACTGAAAAGCAGGTAAGTCAATATACATGTATTTCAACTTTATTAAATATTATAGGTGCGTTCCAGCAGTAGTACGAATTGCAGGGTCTGAAGGTTTCAAGGATTTACAGAAAAAGCTGCTTTTAACTTTAATAAACCTTATGTGACGTGGAACAGCTTTTTCTGTGAAACGTACAATTGCTATTACCGCTAGAAAGCATCTTGTATAAGCATGTGTTTATGTAGTCGTTGAAGGTTCTAGCTGCTCTACGGTTTTATGCCACTGGATGCTATCAACGCCCAGTAGGTGAACAGTGGGGCATATCCATGAGCCAAACATCGATAAGCCGTTGCATACACCGTGTGACTGACGCAATCAACAATTCAATGTTTACCTCCAAAGTGAAGTTCCCTATGACGCAACTGGAGTGCCAAGCGGCAAAAGAAATTTTTGCGTCTGCACCTTCACCATTTGTAGCAGGAACTATCGGTGCAATCGACTGCACCCATGTTGCAATTTTGGCTCCCAAAAATAATGAATCAAATTATGTCAATCACCATGGGTACCATTCGATGAACGTGCAAATGGTAAGAACAAATGTACAACATGAAAATTTATATTGTTTTTAATATTTTATTGAGCTTTGTACCACGATTGTTTATTAGGAAAAATTGAAAAAGCAACAAAGTCTAAGCGGTAGAAGTTATAGCACTATTTCGGAGATCACCACATCTCCTCA